GCCCGAAAAACCCACAACAGCCATTAGATCCCAGCCGTGAAAGCCTTCGCGAATATCTTATGTACAAACTTTGCATTATTTCTTAACAACTGCACAACTTCCCTGGCTGCTTTTGGCCCTAGACATGTTTCCTGCAAATGCTACCTTTGGCTTCGAAGCATATCTAGGGAGAATTTTCAGGGGATGGAGAAAATGTATGTAACCTCAGTTAAGATAAGGAGCATGTTCTGGATTAGGTCCCTGTGATCTTTTTCTCCAAAAGCATAGTACCTTGGTTAAAATACATTTTGCACAAGTGGAAAGTAAGTTTTCTACATAGCAATCACTGTTTGCACAATGATAATGTTTGTGCAAGTGACACAAGCATGCATTACTGCACTGCTGGGACTTTCTGCTTAGGGGAAGAGTGGCTTTAGTGTTTAAGGTGTCACGAGGCATCTTGCTTCAAAGATCTTACTTAATGGTTGGCGTCCTACTGGTGTTAATGTACGGTTTGCATACATTGCCATAGCTAACTGCAAATAATACATGAGGTGCCACATCAATCTTGATTATACAATGAGATATGTGACTAAGGTATTATCACACATTTTTTCTCATATTGAAATTAATTCTTCTTCATCTGTCCTTTTCAGAATCTAAGACTGTCTTAATTTCATCAAAATGTTTTTATACCCATTTGCTCAATGCATTAGAGAGCAAAGAGTAAACATGTTGTAAGCCATTGTAATTTGAACAATAAAAAAGGAGGCCAGACATGTTGGGAAATAAACACACTTTCAACAAGCCACGCTTAAACTGACCAGTTTCGCTGAAGAAAAAGTGGTTTTGGACCCTGCTCCACAAGCTGCTTCCATTTGGATAAGGACTCCACTGTTATTTAATTCTTAATACTAAGAACACATTTTATTGTTCGTATTAAGGATAGCAGAGAGAGCAGCAAAAGGAGCCACATAAAACCAATCCATCAAGGCACTTTCTTAAAGAATTAAAGCAATTTTCTTGGCATAGATTTCAACAGCTATGGACCAAAAAGCCTTCCCCAAAAAGAAAGATTTTTGCTGCCCGAAGGGAAACAATCAGTGAAAGAAAACTGTAGACTCATCTTAAGAAGGCAATCCAGAGCATAATGCACGTTAATTTAGTTAATTTGTTTTTGCATTTTAAAAAATGATGAAGGGAGGGTCTAATACTGAACCTACATGACTAAGAGTAAAGAGTTGGAACTCATTAATTGTTATATGAAATATATTTTGTCAGTTTGCAAAACATGCTCAAAACAGACAAACAAGGTGCAGCAAGAAACCAAGGTCCAGATTCCTATTCAGACAAGAAGCTAATTACCACAGGAAATCTAAAAAGTCAATGAGCAGATATTAATGACTTTAATGTAATTCCATTTATTGTATTTCTGAAACAGAAGAGAAAACATTGATAACAGCTTTCCTTTTCACATGGAACTCTGTGGAGCAAACTGTTAGGATAAAGATAATTATATATATTTAAACATAGTAGGTAATTGTGGAGTAATTAATATAATGTTATTTCACTTGTAGATTTTTGTTTGACTGCAGATGCAAGATAATGATATAATGAATAACTGATATAAAACAAAAATACAATTATCATGTATTTTCGTGTCCAGAAGAATTCCAGTACAATCACTGCAAAGCAAATAGTGCCCCATATGGAGCATCTCATGCATCATCATCATCATCATCATCATCATCATCATCATTTATTATTATTACTACTACTACTACTACTACTACTACTATTATTATACTGAAGACTATTAATAATAAACACTATATATTGTAGTTGCATGTGACAGATCAGAATAAAACTGAAAAGAGATTTTTATACAGTTTCCCTGAAAATAAGCTCTAGTATGATTTTTCAGGATGCTTGTAATATAAGCCCTACCTCCAAAATAAGCCCTAGTTAAGTGAAATCCTGCCTTCCACCATTGTGTAGCAACCAGAAGAAGATGACCTAACTGTATTTGAATAAATGTAGATTGTTGTACCTGAAAAAAACAAAACATCCCCTGAAAATAAACCCTAATGCATTTTTGGAGCAAAAAATAATATTAGACCCTGTCTAATTTTCAGGGAAACAAGGTACAGTACTTGTTATGCTTATTAAGAATGTTCATGCACATTAATGCACAATGGATGAATAACTGATATAAAACATAAAATCCAGTATTTGTTTCTGTGTACAATTTTATTACTATGTTGAAATAATGTTTTGTTCTTTTGTATGTACTGGAATTCCAGATAAACTTCTGTACGCAAGGCTAACTTGCATATTCCTCAGGGTATGAAAAGGAAGCCGTGCCTTTAAATAAAAGTTAACACAATACAGTACAGTAGATCCTGCCGGACGCTGCAAAGGCACACGTTCTGTTAGATGTGTCAGTTAGTGTGTGTGTATTGAGAGCGGGGTGATCTCATCGAGATATGGAGTTGGGTGTAATCACTTAAAAAGGAACGAATCGAATGTACAGTACAGTACTGTAAATGTTTCACTACGTCGAAAAGCAGAAGCCACTGCCTCGTTTCTGTTCGCTTTCGTCGAGGACTGACCCTCGCTTGATGCCGTACCGAGCTGGGACTTGGGCGGTCGTACAGGAAGTGAGGAAGATGGCGGCCTTAAAAGCGGCGCGGAGGCTAACAGGTCAGGGAAAGAGTGGTTGGGCATTGCGTTTGGACAGGAATTCTGTAAAAAGACATAGTTTCTTTTTTTAATCATTGGGGAGAGGGAGCGGTGTGCTTCTTTTAGCAAGCTCTGACGCAGCGTCTTGACGTAGCTCCGAGAATTGCCTGTATGAGTAGTTGGTGAATTCATTGGACCGACCCTCTCAGGCTCTCTTGGGTTAATCGAAGGTATTAATAATAATATTTAGTTCTAACAAAAACATTCTCTTTTACTCTGAACAAGACTGTATTAGAGTAAGTGGAGGCAGTGCAGAGGAAAGTGTGTAAGATTTTTTTTTTTATGTGGGAAGGTGGACTGGGGTTGGTAATAATAGATTTAGATATGCATCTGTATATGACCGTGGCATTGCAGGAAAGGCAAACGTTGTATTCAGTAGGTTCTTTCGGCATTTGCTTCATGGAGGCTTTCCAAAATCCGAGAAAACCAATCCCCCCCAGCAGCCAAAAAACAAAAACAAACATTTCATCATCAGTTTATACTTGACAGAGGAACTGGGAAATTGAGAGTAGAATAGGATGGAATGAAAGCTGCAGTTTAGCAAATTTTGTAAGTCAGCATGAAACACATACTGTACTTCTAAACTTAAGAATGTATGTAATTTTGTAGAAGCAAGACAGGCTGCAAGAAAAAAAGGGTGGGTATTTTCACCTAGGAGTTTCTGATGAGTTCTTTTGCAGACTGCAGTGTGCTCTGTTTTATTTGCTATGAGCTCAGAATCCTTCCTGGTCATTGTTTGCAGAGGTTTTCAATCACCCATTTATAGATTGATGTTTTAGTTGGGAAGCCAGTAACCGTATCCCCATGTCATCTGGTCAATGGGAGGTTGATCTAACTTGTCATCTTGGACTAGGTCCTCATCCTGTTGTACAAAAAGTTTCATAAACCTTACAGTGATGAGCCATACCTGTACCAATATTGGCCTGCAGGGATGGGATGAGGGGGGAGAGAACTCCCAGTCCCATCATTCAGTGGGAACACCACCAGGATGAATTATGGGACTGGGGCCCAATAGATGGCAGGAAGTAGAACAGCCCTTTTATTTCCAGGTGTTTCCTGCATAATATTTTTGCACCTTTTAAAGGTATACCACTGCATTTTTGTGAGTTGCAGGGGATCCCTGTAGGCCTTATTGATATGTCATGATAGACAGAATTCCTGATGATTATTGTTAATAAGTTATTAACTCAGATAACTTAAATACATAGTCTCAGATATCTTTCATTAAGGTCTTCATGTTATATAGTTTGCATGCAATGTCATAGACATATTATTATTATTGTAAAAGAATATTCTACACTCCATATAATTTTTCATTTTTTACGGATGAAAAAAATGGGGAAAAAACAGTTTGCCCCCAGTTTTTCCATTCTCCCCATCGTCATATGTCTATTAATAACTAACTACCCTTCTAGGTTGCCTTTGATTGGATCCATCAGATGGTGGGAGTGACTAAACCAGGAAGCGTCCATTGTCTAAACCAGATCTCTAGATTTTACTTTTGTAATAGTTTGGAACTATAAGCCAAGGACTGACTTTGAATTATTATTTTAGTATGCGAATGGACCAACAAATCAGATTTCAAATGTGATGTTAAACAGATCACTGTTGAAATTTTCCTGTTTTGTTAATTGTTTCCACTAGTACAGGAAGCAGAGTGGAGCTGTTGAACAGTGTGCCTTAGCACACATGCTTGTTGTAGGTTAGCTAGAATGCATTCTGACTTGTGTCCAAATAGACCCATTATTTTCAGTAGTTTCTAATGGTCAGCACTCCTATGTGAAAGGCCAAATAGGGAAAAGAAAGGTGCCAAACAAAGATTGCACTTTTGGCTTTTTTTGGATTCCATTACACATATTTCTCCAGATCTTCCTGGGAAGTGTATTCGTACTGACTATTAGGCTATATGGAGGGTTGGCTCCCAAAAAACTATATCTCTCAGGTAGCACCGTGGCAACCTCCTTGTTTTTGAAAGTAGATAAACTGAAGTAGCTAAGGAAAGGTGGTATTTAGACTTCTCCATCTCTCAGAATTCAGCCTGGGGAATTCTGGGAATTGGAGTACAGTACTGAAATTCCAAGTTGTATATCCCTAGTGCCCAGTTCCCTTGCCCATATGCATTCTGTACTCCATACTCAATGGTGTTTTCTTTCACTTCCTCAGGGGTTTTAAGATCGTTCTGTTCTTTGGTCCCATCAACCTATAACAGCCCTTGCAGTATTGGTCCTATTGCACGACTATCTTTGCTTCACACCAACAATGAGCAACTATTAACAGTATGTACCAGACGACCTCTTCTTTCATTTGGCAGTGCTTCTTTTGGGCATCCAGTCTCAATAGTGAACAGGTAGGCATGATGAAAAAGTTTAACAAGGGGCTGGTGGATGGTTTGGTTCCCCTTTCCTCCTCTTCCTATGCCCACACAGCATAAGAAGAGGAGGGAAGGGATCAAAGGGATCCCCCAGCCGTTGTGTGATGGCTTTGATTCCTGCTTTCCCTCCTCTTGCTATGGAGGGAAGGGAGGGGGAAAAAGACCTGATGAATGACGAATTAATTCGTTGTTCATCAGGTCACTGAGGGGCAAGTCGTGGGTCATCAGGTTTGACAACCCATGAACCAAAATGAAGCATCATTTTGGTGCTCCATCCCCATCTCTAATTGAAATGTTAGTTTGTTCTGTTCAAGCGAATTGGTGGAAACCAGGGTGGGGATGCTCCCTGTGTTCAGAATCCAGTTTTTAAGCCCATACCTTTTTGGGAGCCATATTGTTTGCCCTTCCAAGTTAAAGCAAAAAGTGAATAAGATTTCACACTTAAAAAAAGAAACCTCCTCTCCCGAAACAAGGAGCCACAGCTATTGTTGAGGAGTATTATGCTCCATAGGTATAATTTTTCTATTTTACAAACTGGGCAAAATGGCATTGGGTGGCTGTGGGAGACACAAATGACAGTGGGAGGGACAGCACTGTTGTAAATCGGTGACATTGAGACTGTCATATGCTACATTCAGTATTATATAACTATTTCATTACATTTATTATCTCTAAATGTTTTTTTCTTGATTTTAAACAAACTACAGTGTAATACCTCTGTTTCCAAGTATCTTTAATCAGCAAGCAAGGACTGTCATCACATATAGCTTGCGGAAAGGGAAGAAAAAAACTGTAAAACCTGTGGTTAAGAGATTTCTCCGACTGCACTGTGGCCTTTGGCTACGAAGAAGGGTAATAATTATTTCTTTATTAAATACTAGACTCCTCCTAGGTATATAATTTATGATTGTGGGACATCTATATTTGTAACTCAGTATGTGTGGTAAAAACATGGAAGACACATAGAAAGTCTCTTTAGTTGAGGCTTATCTGTGTTGTGGCTAGCCATCTTTGTTTTTGTCAAGAAACAACCTGTGTATTCCAGTAGGCTTTTCCAATTATGTTGTCTATGGATCCTACTTAAACTCCAGTTAACAGCCTAGAATGATACGTGACTACTGCCAAATTAAATGTATTAGTTATTTTAGAATGCATTTTAAATTGTTTGATCACTGTTATACAGTGGTGCCTCACTTGACGATGATAATCCGTTTCAGCAAAATCACTGTAGAACAAAATCGTCGTCAAGCGAAAGTAAAAAACCCATTGAAATGCATTGAAAACTGGCTCAATGCATTTCAGTGGACGAAATACCTCATCGTGCAGCGAAGATCCTCCATAGGGCGGCCATTTTCCGGTGCATGTTAAGTGAGGAATCCGTCCTAAACACAGCGGGGAGTCATTTTGCACAGCAGGCAGCTATTTTGGGAGCCGCCGATCAGCTGTTCTAAAATCGTCGTTTAGCAAAAAATCAGTTCCCGAAGCAGGGAACTAATCATCATAAAGTGAATTTTCCCCATTTAAACATCGTTTTGCAATTGCGATAGCGATCGCAAAAACCTCATCGTAAAGCAGATTTGTCGTGGAGTGGTGTAATCGTCAAGCGGGGCACCACTGTAATGTTTGTTGCACAGTAGAGTTATTGTTATGGTTTTATACTTTCTCTGGGTTTTTACTGTTTAATGCTGTGAACAGCCCAGATTGGCCTTTGGCTAGATGAGTGGTAAATAAATTAAACAAATAAACAGTCTTAAAATAATTTGTTTTTGACAGGCTGGTTACAAGAAAAAGCTGTGGAAAAAAACCTCTATCCGGAAAAAGTGCTTGAGAGAACATGTATTCTGCAATAAAACACAAAGTAAGCTCCTTAATAAAATGACCACTTCCTTCTGGAAGAGAAGAAACTGGTATGTCAATGATCCCTACTCGAAATACCATGATCGTCCAGGCTTTCCCTTCTGAATAGTCAAATGTGGAATTGCTTTGGCAGTCCAAATACTGAATGTTAGAATGAAAATGGATTATTATTATGTATTATAATTTCCTATATGTGTAACAAACAAATAAAAACCTTATTAAATTACTGATGAAAATTTAGCTATTTCGATTATTTGTCTTAATGCTTTCGTGGTCAGTCAGTGTACCTGATAGGCAAAATGTGATAGATGCAGGTTATGTTGTTTGCGAGATCTACATTTCCTCATACATGTCAGGAAATACAAATGGTGTTAGTGACAACAATTTACTTATTGTTATAAATAGCTCTGCACAGTTTAAGAATATGAATTTTTTTAATTAAATAACGACACATAAACCTTTTAAAAAGAACATGGCTTTCTTATATTCCTAATCCTTGCTGTATTTCTTGGAAAAAGCAAGCACATGCTGTGAGTCTTCAACAGTAATTGATACTATAAAACTTTTGTTCTGATTGTTGCTTGCTAAATTATGCTTAAAGTGCAGTAGCACCTTCCCATATATATTCTCCTGTACCTAGTATACAGTATACTGCCCATTATAGTGTAACATTATGCTCCATGAGTTTCTGTAATCTCCTTTTAAAGGCATTCAAACTGGTAGCCATCACTACACTGCTACAATCTGTTGCAGATTCCTTGTTTTGATTTTGCAAATAATTGCTTCCTTTTAGGTGTCCCAAATCTCTTTATTAAGCTCTTGGTGCTAGTATTATGAAAGAGGGAGAATCTCTCTTCACTTTCTCTTCATCACTCATAATTTTACAAACCTCTGTTATGGCTCACCTATATTTTAAGCTAATAAGTATCATTGTTGTAACCATTCACAAGGAAGTTGGTTTTGTCCCTTGATCTCTAGTTCCCCCTTTCTGCCCTGTCTTCTAGCATTTGTTGTTAACAAAAAGCAACTCAATGTAAAATGCAGAAACTCCAGATTGGTAGGATAGAGTAGAATGACGAAGGGTCCTTTGTGAGCTGTATGGCTGAGAAAAGAGTTTAAATTGGTGACCTTTCTCTGCCAATATAGCCCGAGCTCTACAGCATGTTTATCCTGATTGGCCTATACCTATTAAGATGCCAGTTTTAGGGATAACACAGATATTATAAAGACATCAAAGAAGTATAATATTATTATTTGGCCTACACAGAACAGAATGACAATTCACCTTTTTAAAAGAAAGTTTAAGACTTTATTTTCAAGATGTATATCAAGCAATATAACAAAACATAGACCTTTGGAATACTGTCGTAGTGCTGGGTCTTATAATGCATTCGTAAGTGTTCTATTCTAGCACATCTTTGCTACAAGTGACTGAAAAGAAACTATATTCAGTGCACAGTTATGACCCTCAGATATTGGCCATTTCTGTAACTTCCCAATACAGTATTCTTAACAATTTACAGTGTTCTTTACAATTTCAAATAGTGCAAAACAGGTACCCACAAAAAAGGGAGGGGAAAGCAACAAACACTAATTAACAAGCATTTAGGCACAAGTACATGTATCAACCACTTAACATATTTATCTTGCAGAGCATGGCTTGAGGATAGCAGGCTGTTTATAAACTGGTCAAGAGCATTCCACACTGTATGTGACATTTGTAATATCTCAGTTTTTAAAACAAAATAATAGAGATGAACTTCTTCCACCATACTTCTGTAGCTTTTCTCTTAAATTACCAACAGAATTCTTCATTTGCATTGAAATTGTTTTTGTGTCTAATATAGAGCAGCCTTCTTAGTTACACAGGAAGCTGCTTTGTTCCAAGTTAGACTGTTTATGCTTTATACCCAGCATTATCTCTTGTGACTGGCAGTAGTTCTTAAGAGTCTCTAGCAGAAATCTTTCATATGACCTCATAGCTGATCTCACAATTGGATAGCTCAGGGATGGAACTGGGATATTCTTTATACAAAGCATGTGCCCTAACACTGAACAATGGTCCCTACTCCTTAAACAATCAGGTTTGATAAACCATGGTACCTACATTAATACTGTATTGATAATGTGAATGAGGGCTATCAAATCACAATAGCATGCTCTCTTCTGAAGAAAAATCTGGATTGGCTGGTTTTATACTAAGTGCAGACAAAATGCAATTCTATGCTTGTCTATGTTTGGGAATCCTTATGTTCTAATTTTAGTTTACAGTACTAAAATTGCAGCAGCAGGAACCTCAGACCTATGTGCGTCCTTCACTGATTGGCCTTTTGCTCTCTCCACCTCTGAAATGCAAAAACAGTAAGGACAAGCTGAGGAGCGTTGGTTAGAGTTGGCTATCTATAGATGCACACGACTCTCACTATTGGTCCAAGGCAATAAGACGAGAGAATTGGAGCTAGACAGTGGAGCACATCAGTCTTAAGCATATATGAGGAATGCTCACTGCCTTGCCCAGTATAAATAAGTAATACTACATGATGTGTAACTTTTCCACTGATAATTTATAGCCCTAGTCATTTTGCAGAAAGCATGTGCCTTGCATTTGTAATATGCTAGATGCTCTGGTTTGCTGAATATCTGATGAATAATAATAGCACCCCAGGCCAACTTCTTCTAAACAACCTGCTTCCATTACAGCACAGATTAAACATCTGTTGAACACAAGTGTATGCTTAATGACCCATTTATGTTTCCCACTGATCTATACACAGATATATAATTTGGCTGATAAATTAAGCACATCTGCCAGACAGCTTTTACTTCTTTTTTTTTACAGTGAATTGATTTGAGAAATAAGGCAATTAAACAGGTTCACCTTAGCACTTGAAAGGAAGTCCAAAACAGTCATGTGTTTGATAAAACAGCGGGTCAGATATGCTTTTTTAACTCTAGCTAAAATAAATGTTAATACAGTATATGAAGATACACTTAGAGATGTATCTTTTTTGGCATAGTTGAATATAACTTGGTCAACTTTTCATTTTATTCCATCACATATAGCATGATAGCAAAACATTGATCTGCTTGCAAGATAAAGTAATTTCAGCTAATGTGGAAATTTTTAAAGTGTGTGCAGAAAAGGGGACAGCTATGGACACATAGATTGCAGATTATTTAATGAATGTCCAAGTCAAAAGATTTTGAGGTACATGCACTAGCTTTTCATATACAGTATTGTCCAAAGTTCTGTTGCATAGTTATGATTGTGGAAGACAAGTGGTGTGATGTGCAGTGGCTTCTTAATGACAGTTAATGATTCCTGTTTGGATTTTGGGGCATATGCCAACCCACTGGACTGACATACATCTGAAAATCAAAGCAAGAACTTGTTATTTAGTAGTGGGAAGCCACTGCTAGTTAACACATTTTGCCTTCTGCACGCATAACTAAGCAACAATATAGAAATGGCAGTAAATCCAAATATGCTGCTTTGGGAAACATCTTTCTTATAGAGCAGAAATCATGTTGCTAACATGCTTAAGCAATGGTAGAATATTTACAGCATTCCAGAAATCTCAGAAAGTTCCATGGTAGCATTTAGAAAGCACCTGGGGGCAGGTTGGGATATGGTTCCTTAAGTTCAAGACAGTAGTATTAAAAAGCAGCTTTGTAATGTTAATTTTGGAGCCTGAAATATAGTCACTTGTCATTACCAATAAATTAAAGATGTTAGTTGTATCATTTGTAATCTGCCCATCTTTTCTCAACAGCAAGATCTTTTATGTCCTACAATATTAAATGTTTTCTAACAAGATAGATCCAAGAGCAAACACAGATGTCTACAGAAATAACTTCTAGATTTTACATGCTTTACACTTACAGGATACACCAATGTGAAGTACAGATACACAAGCCCTAGCACATTTTTCTCATTTTGTACTTCTCTATAATTACAAATGTACCACCCAATCTAAAGACTATTGTGACCTATACCAGAAGCTATACTACAGCCAGAATCTCTGAATTATATGAAGGAGTTCAGCTATAATGGTCTACTATCATTCTGTCAATGATATGTCTACATGCATGCTGGGTACACTTTAGGATTAAAATCCATGTGCAAACAAGGTTGATTTACACCCAGATCAATCGGTATATTGCTAATGTGATTGTGGCATACATCCTAGCATTATTATTTTTTTAAAAAAGATGTGTTATGGACATGTACAAAATGGCCAAGATTTATAAGTTTTTTTTTTCATTTTATACACAATACAATTCTTATCAATGCAATTCCAATCTTCTTTACTTAGATGGCAAAGTCCAACTGGTTTCATGAGGTACACCTTGTAACTGATGAACAGTAAATGAAATATTAACAAATTGTGATGTTACTATTAAGACTTTGATGCCTCTACAACCAAAAGAATTAATGACTTCCCACACAATTCAGAGTCTTATAAAGATAAGATGGATACAGCTTAGGTAGAAAAAAAACTGTGGCCCCTGTTAGGCTGCTTTATACATTGTGAAACCTAAAATAAATACAGTTGTTCCAAATATTTAGAGCAAGTGAAGAATTCATTTCCTGATTGTATTTCATACAGCTAAAATTAAGGTGACACAGCTAAATAATTACAAATGTACATCTTCAGCATGGTAGCTGAAAAAAATTGCTATTTTGCAAATAAATCCAAGGATAGCAAGAAGCATTGTTGCAAGTTTGCAATGCACACAAATAGAGCACAAACATATGGAAAAGGAAGCATGAAAGGCCATGTTTACAATGCTGCAATATCAGAAACACATCCATCTCACCACTGGTTTTCCTCTTACATTATTATCAGAGTAGATCTTTTAAGGCAGAAGAGAGACATTCTGTTGATCTCGGTGCTAATGGCTCACCATACTCACATGGTTTCAGTGGCAGATGAGGAGGTACTTTTTTTCCTGAAACGAGGTCTAAGGCTCCTAGGCGGTGCCTGTTAAAAAAAAAGCAAAAAAGTTGTCCTGATTTCATTTCCATTCATTTAACTTCCATAGAAAAATGTATAATTTGTATAGGAATATATCAGTTGAGGGTTTCCCTCTTTAAAAGGGAGCTGAGTTGGGCTCATCCGTTCTTAGAAAGCGACACTGGAGCAAAAGCGATCCTTTGTGTTATGCATGAACAGCATCACTTGAAACAAAGTAATCTGGGGCATTCAAAATCAGTTGTAGAATTGTAAGGATCCTGTTGTAGATTAACTTCCCAGCACACTCCCAGCATGGATTGTAGCAATGGCACCTGGACTTGGAGTGGGACACACACTTAGTCTTGTTAAGTTGATGACATATAAATTCACAAGCAGAAAAGGTAGGGCATGGAATTAATTTAGCAATTCTGCTATGTGGCAGTAAATGCACACTGCATCTTGGTCCTCCTATCACCATGCTTTGAGATACCACTTCAGAGGTGGCATATGGCATGTTCATTGATTAAATAAAGAAAAAATATACAGTATAACGGATCCAACTCAATGAGGGTGTTTCCTCCCTATACTGTGTCCCAGACCCTGCTTTATTTACCTGTCCCTTCCTCCACTTTTTCAACCCATATATGCATATATACCTTCATTCCACTAGCAAAAAGGTATTTGCCTTTAAACTCTCATACCACAATCAATTAATTAGATTCCTTGTTTCTTACATCAAAAAAAATGCCTCTCTCCCAGTAGACAATTTCTAGCCTCTTCACTAATGTGTTTGCTACGCTGTGCCTACATCAGGGGAGGAGAGGGAATCCTTCAGTAGGATTTTTTTAAAGTGATGTATTTTTTAAAAAACTTTTTTAAAGTGATGTATCACTGTAAATGTAAAAACATAAATACAATTTGTCCTTTCCCCACTTGTTAATTTTTTTTCTCACAACTTTACTGCACGTTTATGGGTTTATATTCTCAACAGCTTCTCAGTCTGCATCCTAATTTCTTTTCTCTCTACTGCACTTTTATGGGTATATATTCTCAACAGCTTCTCAGTCTGCATCTGGAACTTTGCCAAAATATGTTTAACTGCACCTCAAGATGCAAGAAGACATTGCCTTATTCTTGAAAAGCATCACAGTAGCTATTGCCATGGAATTATTTTCAATGTTAGCGCTACACCTCAAAATGCAAGAACATGTTGCCTTATTCTTATTGCCATGGAATTATTTTCAATGTTAGCTGCCTCCTACTTGTACTGAATTATAACAGAATATAACATGATTAAAAGAACTAGCATTTGCTAACATGATTGAATTAAGAGAAGATCACACTACTTGGACAGATGTGAGATTTCCATTTTTCTCCTTAGGGTTAAAAAAATACATTTTTTCTTATAAAATTTCCTTTGATTATACAGTGGTGCCTTGACTTACGAACATCCCAACCTACGAACTTTTTGAGTTACGAACAGCTCCGTTCGCAAAATTTTGCTTTGACTTGCGAACGGAGCTTTGACTTACGAATGGAAAAAAGGCAGGGAAAGGGGCAGGAAATTCAAATATACTAACTGTTGGTGGCGAAGAGGCTGCTTCTTTGTAGCTCTTTCGCCCCAACGGTTAGAGGAGGGGATCAGGAAAATTTTTAACTTTTACAGTACAGGAAAATACTGTACTGGGAAAGGGATGCAGCAGGGGCCGGGCCAGTGCTGGGTCCCATTCCCACCAAGCCAGGGACTGAGCACAGCCTGCTGTTGGCGGGTGGCTCCTGGGCTGCTCTTCGGGGCTCCTCGCCTGATGCAGCCTTCCATTGGGTCAGTCCCTGGCCCAGCAGGAATGGGACCCAGTGGCAGCAGTAGCATTGGGCAAGGAGCCCCGAAGAGCAGCCCAGATCCTCAGCACGGGGCAGAGGGGGCCCTGATCCTGGAGGAAGGGTCCTTGCGCACAGCCTCCTCCACTTTCCTGGCAGGCTGCGCTCAATCCTTGGCCCTGTGGGACCGGGACTCAGCAGTGGCGGCGGCATAGGCGGAGATCGGCGAGAAGTGCCGAGGACCAATGTGGCCGCCCTGGTGAGCAGCTGCTGGTTGAGAAGTGCCGAGGACCGACGTGGCCGCCCTGGTGAACAGCCGCTGGTGCCAGTTCTGGAGCTGGATGTGGCGTCAGGCACCAGCAGCAGCAGCGGCCCACAGAGGTCATCGGAGAAGGCTTGGGACTTCCTGTTAAGGTAAGGTGCAGTTCTTGGTTTTGTGGTATTGGGAACCAGCAGCAGCAGCAGCCCATGGAGGCCATCGGAGAAGGCTTGGGACTGCCTATTAAGGTAAGGTGCAGTTCTTGGTTTCTAAAACTGTTCTGGATCGGTTTTGCAGGGCTGGGGGGTGTTGTTTCTATGGTGTGTTGTTGTTTGTTTTTTGCTGTGTGTTTTTTGCAGTCCCAGCATAGGGCTTATGTTTTATTGTTGTGGTTTTTTTGCTGTGTGTTTTTTGCAGTCCCAGCATAGGGCTTGCAGTGTTTTATTTTTATTTTATTTTATTGAGGTCTGTGTGTTTTTGGCCGGAAAGGATTAATCGGTTTTCAATGCATTCCTATGGGAAATGCTGATCTCACTTACGAACCTTTTGGCTTACGAACATCTTCTGGGACGGATTAAGTTCGTAAGTCCAGGCACCACTGTATTAAACCAGAACTGAATGATTGAACTAGAGGCAATGAGTTAGAAGTCATATGCTTTCATTATCAGTTGTGGTGGCCATTATCCTGTTGTACTGGCTAAGATCAGGCCCATCTTCACCAAGAGTAGAAGATTTGCTTGTTTCTCATTTTTTAGATCTATCACAAATTTTCTCAGATATATGAGGTTTTGGAAGGCATTGCAACTACTGATAACTTGCTGACTACCACAGATCCTTATGAGAGGGCTGACACTGGCTTGCAGCTCTATGTCTTCCATGTCACTTCAGGGTTCCACCTAAAGGTTGACAGAACACAATGAATGACTTCCTTTCCTGAGCTAGTATTTGGTAGAAGTGTTAGCTTTGGCCATTGATGCAAAGAACACTCTAAGGTGAGAGGAGGAAAAGGGCAGGAAAGTTCCTGCACAAGTAGCTTTATACCAAATGAGATTAGAAAAGAGGAAGCTATTGGAGGCCTAGAGAAGCCTGCAGGGAAGATGGAGAGAAAACCAGGTACAGAGACACAGAGAAGGACTGGGGTAGAGTCTAAGAGTTCAACAGAGGCAGAAGAGGAGAATGGAGCCAAGGAATGTGCTGATGCCTTGGAATGGGCATGTGGGGTCAACAATTCAGTAGTCTATGCCTGCTTTTCCGGACTCACATTGGTGAACCTTCTCAAACTGAATCCAGAGTTTCCCAAGGCAGCAAGAGTTGAGTGTTTTGGTTCACACCTGAAAGATATGAGCCTATTGTGGGTCAACAGGAGATCCTTCCAGCAGTATCTGGCAGGACTCCTAATCCAAAGGTTATACTGACCCTGACCCAACTGAGAAGGTGGAGACATTAGAGACAGTTTAAGAGACTGTGCCAGATGGCCAAGACTTGAAATAAGGAAAGATTATACTGTGCCCTATTTCCCTTTCTGTTTGTGTTTAAGGACTAGTACTACCGGGGTGAAACGGAACAACCTGGATGTGACAAAGAGACTGGACAACAGGGTAGTGCAAGGTTGAAAACATGTCTATGGATCCCATGACTCCCTTGTAAATAATAGATCTAGTGCTCTATTTAACATCCATTAAACCATGGACAGATTGAACCTAGTCACAATCCTATGTGCCTTTTGGGGAGCTATAGTGCACATATAGCATTGTCATTACCCCTTTTCTCAAGATTAAACTTAAGCATGTGCAGGGGAAAGGCGGACTGTGGTGAGCAAGATTTTGACGGACAGGAGTGACTAACTTTGTTGATACTGATACACACAGCAGTGTAGTTAGTTGTTCATGCTCTCTCAGCAGTAATACTAAAATACACTAGTAGTAGAAGACATGGCAGAGCTCGTCCGATAATGCTTGCAGCATCACTGTACACATCATTCCGGTCAATGCCCCCTATATTGTCCATGAAGAGAAGCAACCAATCAACCGATAGCAGAAACATCAGGGTATCTTCCTTTCTTCCAATAATCCTTGCAGCATCACTGTACACATCACTCCTGTCAATGCCCCCTATATTGTCCATGAACAGAAGCAACCAATAGCAGAAACATCAGGGTATCTTCCTTTCCCCAACACAAGGCCAGGCACTACACAAAAAGTTTTACAGACTACCGCCTTAGGCAGGTAAACATGTGCGATTACAGAAATACATCACAAAGTCATGTACTGTATCACCTAATTTGAATTACACATTCCATGGCAATGGTTTATAAACTGATACTGTGGTACTATAAAATGTTAGCTGATATCCCATGTTCAGTGTAGTTAGGTGGGTGGCATGTAGGTAGAGGGCTATAGCCACACTGGACTCTTAATCAGCTCAGTAGGCATACCCTGATGGTTAGGTAAAGACAAAGGTTCCCCTTGATGTTTAGTCCAGTCGTGTCCACCTATAGGGCGCGTTGCTAATCCCTGTCACAAAGCCGTAGAGCCAGCGTTTGTCCATAGACAGTTTCCATGGTCACATGGCCAGCATGACTAGACACGGAAAGCCGTTACCTTCTCATCGTGGTGGTACCTATTTATCTACTCGAATTTACATGCTTTCGAACTGCTAGGTCGGCAGGAGCTGGGACGAGGGACGAGAGCTCACTTCATCACGTGGATTCTATCTTACCACTGCTGGTCTTCTGACCTTGCAGTATAGAGGCTTTTGCAGTTTAACCTGCAGTGCCACCACTACACCTAAATAGTAGCGCTCTTAATTTTACTTTTATGTACCCTGTTTCCCCAAAAATAAGACCTAAACTGAAAATAAGCCCTAGTATGATTATTCAGGATGCTTGTAATATAAGCCCTACCCTCAAAATAAGCCCCAGTTAAGTGAACCCCCCTCCACCATCGTGCAGCAAGCAGAAGAAGATGACATGACTATTGTGATGATTGCCCCATGTCACTCCTGCCAGTCATAATCATGAACTGATTTGCATACGCCTATGAGAGGATTGGAGGGGTGGAGTCAGAGGATACATGAAGGTTTGGCAGGAGGAGGGAGAGTCAGACAGTCAGAGAAAGATACAGATAAAGAGAGAGAGATAAAGAGATAAGAGACTGGTTAGTCAAAGAGAGAAGGAACAGATACTAATAGAGATAAAGCTGGTCAAGATAAATGGATAAAGTGGTAATTATATGGCAAGAGAAAAGTATGTATTGAGAGACCTGTTAATGATTTACTTGTGTACAATGTTCATCTGAAGAAATTCTGTCATTGTTAAATTGCCTTCACTTCAATATATAAGTTTTGTTTGCATTCACAAGACAAATTTTTTGACAAACTTCATTTATATTGTGGATTGAGGCAGTCCACTGGTGGCAGTGAGAGGAAAACATGACTGGATCTTTTGTGAGGGCACAACACGTAGGTGCCACAAGAGAGAAATTAACAGTCATGGGCACTTCATACAAATGGCAATTGGCCAATCCTCCCTCCCCATTTTTTTCAAGCTGTAGAGGGTGTTGATCAGATTGTAGAATGGCAGAGATCCAAATTCCGGTAACCCTCAGGTCCTTAGAAAATGATTGCTTCTACTTTCTATGCTGTCATTAAATTGTAGGAGTTGGTTCTAACTGTTAGTTCCAACTAGATTAAACCCATTGAATCAATTACACTTGCATTGGTATTGATATAACAATTTCTTTTCATTCAGTGGGTCTACTCAAATAGGGACTTTCAATTGAATTTAGCTCAAGAAAACACCAGTCATATCATTCATGAGTCATATCCCAGTACTGAAGGGATATGCCTATGATAGCACAATACTTTTCAGGAAGCAACAAAATCCATTTAATTGAGTTTCAGCCCCACCATCTTTTCTACTGCAACTCTGTTTTGGAATCGGGTGTGGCGGCCTTTAAATTTTAACGCCCATTTCCAATGTGGAAGTACCTCAATGAGTGGATCCTTCTTTTGAGGTATTTTAGTCTTGAGTTTGCAATCCAATGAGTCCTTTTCTTCATCATTTGAGGATACAACGTCAGTTGGTTCATAATTTGTCACAGGTAACTTTTCAAAGTCTGACTCATCCTCTAGTTCAACCACTTAGAATAGCCATTTAAGATCTAAATGGTGAAGAGCAACAGGACATGGAAAGGTCAAAGAAGACACCCAGGAGTTGACAAACTGATTCACAAGTTCCCCACTGCACAGCTCATGCATTTTCCAGGGGTTAATAATATCAGTGCTTAAAAGACACACTGTAGTAAGAACAGCTTTTGTCATCACTGTTTGCCAGTGTAGGTTGCTTCAGACTTCAGCCTAACTCCCCCCAAAATTCTGAACTACATAACCCTATACTCACTTGAAGTAAGTCCCCTTGAATGCAGCAGGACTTACTTTTGAGTAAACTTATAAAGGATTATAATTTTTGAAGCCTACATTTATTCTCAAATGGCTTGGTGTGCATATTTTTCATCCCTGTATAAGATCACAAAATGAAATATGATTTTTTAAACTGACAAAATGCCTAAAATCTTGCTGCTTAATTACATACATGGAAGGTATTCCATGTAACAATCAGTCACTTCTATCCCTGCTAGAATTCTTGAGTACACACTCAATCCAAGAATTTCAGCAACAACTTGTTAATTGTCAACTAAAAGAGACTGGCCAGAACACTGTTTGTCTTCTGCACGTGTAATTAAGCAATAGAATTTCAGCCACTGGAAACATTTATTCTACCACTGTCCACAAAATAAGGAAATACTGTAATATGCTCAAACCTTACACAAGGAAACGGTATTTAATATGGGTGTCCACTGATTGCTAAAAACCCCTTCTGTTAACGTTACTGATGGTTTTATAGAATGTAGAGGCTAATTCCTTTAGAACTCGTGTGGAGAAAAGTGGAGAATACTGTTAGGGGCTATGCTGTGTTGGTTCCTGCAAATGGATTTATCGTCACAGAACTAATAGGAGGCCGGGGTATCACCATAAGAACATGAATGTTTATTAACCTCCTTTTGAAGAGGCCAGGGTTCAGCTGGCAAGAACACAAAAGAAGCATTTTCTTGTTGTGTTTTGAATTAGGAGTCAGGGATATTATTGCAGCTGTAGATATTATTTATAGATTTAGGGAAAACTGAGAAATACCTAAGGTTCTCTACAGAAACGAGATGCAAGACAGAAATCTGCTTGCTTCCAATAGATTTTGTATATTGTGGAGATAATAACAACAATAATAATTGTTTGTGTATTACTGAGATAATAACAGTCTGTTTCCAGGCCCAATTCAAAGTGCTGGTCATTTCCTATACAGCTTGGGTTCAGTATCTGAAGGACTGTATCTCCCCATATGAGTCTTCTTGGCATTTAAGATCATCAGAGGAGGTCCTCCTATCCGTCCCACTGCCGGTGCAGGCACGGTTGATGGGGGGCCAGAGAGAGGGCCTTCTCTATGGCAGATCCCAGGTTACGGAATGCTCTCCCTCGGGAAATCAAGCTGGCCCTCTCTCTTTCGTCCTTCTGCCAACAACTGAAGACCCATCTATTCAGGCAGGCTTTTAACAATAATGGTTGGGTCCCTGAATGCCATTTTTAAGTTAAGATAGTTTTTAATGCTTACCTGTTTTTAATTATTCAACTATATTTTAATTAGGTATAGTTGAATTGTTTTTTAAAAAATTTATTATGTTTTTAATTCTATTCTTTTAATATTGCGAGCTGCCTTCATGAGAAAGGTGGCCTATAAAAGAAAAAACAAACAAACAAACAAGCAATGTTGCATGCACAAACACTGGGTAACAGTGAGAGGCGGCACTTCACAACCTAAAGTGATTCTCCTCTGCCGCTAACGGTTTGCGGAAGCTCGTCCCAGCACTGGATTGCCCCTCCCATCTTCTTGTTCGTTTCCTTTGCTTCCTTTGGTTGTTAGTCTCTTTCTCCTTTCCTGACCTCAATAACGGTTTGCTGAAGCTCTTCCCATCTCTGGATTGCCCCTCCCCTCTTCTTGTTCATTTCCTTTGCTTCCTTTCTTTGTTAGTCTCTTTCTCCTTTCCTGACCTCTGAGCATGCAGCAAACATGGGAGAAGTCTTTCCCACATGCAGAACTTAATTTTTCCTTTTTATTCTTCTGATTGTAACTACTGATGGCAATTGTACATAAAGATACATTTTCTTCACCTAAAATGCTTCCAGAGTGAACGTTAACATATAAAGTTCTAGTCACTGTGAACAGGGGCGGGCTACTCTCTCACACTTTCTTTGTGCACCCTGCTAGCTATAAAAGGAATTAACCAAATTCTCCAATAGGTTATTGGCCCAGACAGAGTAGTTTTGCTCAGTGGGATGACTAATCAGTACTTTTCAGGTTTGTTTCTTAGTCTCTCTCTCTCTCTCTCTCCTTTCCTGGTGGTCTCAAGTAACCTGAACTCAGCTACTAATACTGTATTTGGAAGATTATATATTTTCCTATATACCGTGTTTCCCTGAAAATAAGACAGGGTCTTATATTAATTTTTGCTCCAAAAAACACATTAGGGCTTATTTTCAGGGGATGTTTTATTTTACAGTCATGTCATCTTCTTCTGGTTGCTGCACAATGCTGCACAATGGTGGAGGGCAGGGTTTCATTAAACTGGGGCTTATTTTTGGGGTAGGGCTTATATTACGAGCATCCTGAAAAATCATACTAGGGCTTATTTTCAAGTTAGGTCTTACTTTTGGGGAAGCAGGGTATTTGGTTACAGGTTGGATTTAGAAAATTGGGTGTCTGTGTGTGATGATTATGCAATCAACACCTTTGACCACTAGATGATGCTGTTCCACATGTTTAGCAAAAGATCTATGCCTTCTTTTGCTGTCTTTGGGAAGATCCTGGAAAATTCTGCTGTGTAGTGGAGGCCAGTGGTACCAGAATAACATGGCAAAACATTAATAAGTTTTCTTTTTCAAATGAAGTATTAGACTCTGTTAACAGGGAGTGTATCTGGGAAAGGTTCTGCAGCTGCTCAGTTTCACAGGAAGGACAGGAAAAAAGAGATTTTTTAAGACACGTACAAGAAAGTAAAACACACACACACACACACACACACAGAGAGACAGACAGACAGACAGAGAGAGAGAGAGAATGACACAGCCCCATTACCCCTCAACCAACTAGTTCAATATACAGTGAGTTAAACGTTTGCTACTGTACTATAGATCAGCCAAAAATCCACTATTATTCACAGCTGGCATTCTTACTATCTCTGAGGCTTCAGTTAAACCTGTAAGATGATGACAAGTAAAACAGGGAATTTGCAATCAGAAATAGTGTAGTTATCCTCTAACATCTTTTACAGTTTTGCAAGCTGCAAGCTAGTTTGCATTTGTCATCAAGCTGATTTTTCAAACACAACACTTCTGAAGACACTGTTCTGAGGGAATAACATTTAATTATGAAACTATCCATCCCTTCTGTCCTCACTCAATTATTTCGCAACAGAAAAGGAGTTTAGGAGGACATTGGTCAATCTGTGCTTATGTGTTAGCAGGACACCTGCCTCTTTCTCACAGAATTATATTCAGAGTAACTGAATAGTGACCCTGCTTGCAGGGAAATTCTGGGGATTGCAGTTTAAAAATTTAATGTTTCCAAGCTTTATTTGTGTGAATCACAGAAGCATCTTCCTAACCACTGTAGGTAACAAGATGCTGGAGGAACCTTGTTTTGATGCAACAAGACCCTTAACAGATATTTAATACAACACAGGATAAACGTTTCCTTTGCAGAGCTCTAGAAGATTCCGAAAGGGACCGACGCTGGCGCTGACTTAACCCTTTATGTGTGCATTCACAGAAGACCACGATGAAGAATTTAATGTTTCCAAGCTTTATTTGTGTGAATCACAGAAGCATCTTCCTAACCACTGTAGGTAACAAGATGCTGGAGGAACCTTGTTTTGATGCAACAAGACCCTTAACAGATATTTAATACAACACAGGATAAACGTTGGGTGCACAACTAAAATAATTATTTTGCCTCATGTTGCCAACTCCTAACCTGGCACTGTAAGCTCATATCAAGGGCAAAAAGGTTTTATTACACCTTAGGGAGCAGACAGCATAAACTAGGCATGCTGCAACTGTAATTCTATGGAGCAAAAGTGACATAAAAGATTTCTTAGGTTTTCTATTATTCTGCTGCAAATTCAGTATGTCAAGGTGCATTTGGCACACTTTGATTAGTCAACAAAAGACATCAGATGCAACATACACCATGTACACTGCACACAGTATTCACCCATCTGAATAGATAGAGTTAGAAGGTTCAGTCATCTAAGCAGATAAAATCTGGATTAGGCACGCCAAACCAAGACAGAAACATCCTATACATTACTGAACTCTGAAAGGTAAGTGATTTTTAAGTCACACAGTACAGTCCTATGCATATTCACTAGAAAATAAATTCAGGTCATGCAAATCAATAACACTTACATCATTGTCCAAAACATTTACATAAAGGGAAGAAAGAAATATAGTGAACAGAAAGCACTTGGGAGGAAAAAAAACAATACATGTTCTGATCTTAGCAATCTTTTTTTGCATGGTCACAGTATATGATTTGAGGAATAGTTATTAAACTATTTCAAACTTCAGAACAGTTCAATTTTATTATAGGAACCACTGGACATCACTGAAATTTATGGTTTGATCACCATGCTGCAATAAATTAATGTTTTACGTAACAGGAAAGAATATATAATTCAGGAAGCAATTTAAACAGCTAACAATACTTAGCAAGAGTCACCAGAACAATCAAGAATATTACTTTAAAGAAAATTATTTCTAATTTGTCCAGTGACAAAATTAATAACAGTTCACATTCTAGTTAATAGACAAAACAGCACCCTTTCTAAAATGTTAAGTATAAAGAAGTTTGGAGTCAATTCTCTGCTTATGTCTGTTTGCCCATAAACATACAATACCATAAAATGTAGTTCCAAAATATAAAGTTTTGGGTTATAGTAATCAGAAATCATACACAGAGATGTTTCAAGAGTTCTTCTGACTTCTAAAAGGAAATACTCAATAGCGTTCTACTGAGTGCACTAGCAGACAGCAAAGCTTTGATACAGTAAGAAAAACCAAAAAAGAAAACTTGCAGGTCTTATAAAAGAATAGGATACTAAAAGAAATATTGTGTCTATAATAAATAATTGTACATTGAACAATTCAGCTTCAATTAGAGTAGGATACTCTAAACAAGACCATTCAAATTGTTAGTACTTCAGCTCACTTCAAGCCACTTTTTTGACCATTATACTTGGTTAATGCATTCAAGTTGACATCCTACACATGTTCAACCATCCTTGACCTTCAGGCTGCAATTTACAGTTGGCAACCCAACTTCAACTTTTAAAATGGGAGATGCAAATACTTTTGTAGGAAGTCATCCCCTCTCTAACCTAAATCCAATGGCTGCATTCTACCCAAACTCTCCTTCAACGGATACAGTAATCACCTTTGTATATTGGCCAATGGACCAGATGACTATTAGATCAATCTGTGGTGAGGACCAGAAGAATGAAATAGAGCACACAGACATGGCCACTGACTCTATGCATATGCTGCAGGAAGAGAAGAGGATTTTTCAATTCTAGGGGGTAACTACATTACCCAGTGGGGTACACCAAGCACTCTATACACAATTGGGGCACTCTTCTATACCAGTTGTTCCCAAACTTGGGTCCCCAGATGTTTTTGGAATAAAACCCCCAGAAGCCTTCACCACTAGCTGTGCTGGCCAGGGTTTCTGGGAATTGCAGTCCAAGAACAGATGGTGACCCACGGTTTGGAACCAGTTCTATATTGTTACTTCAAATCTTATAAAACTGGATGCTGGAAAATGGCTAATCCCTGACTGAAATTAAATCAAGGAGGGAGTTACCCGCTGCAACTCAAATAAAAGAAATGAAAAAGGAAAAAAAATCTATGTTCTGCTGCAAAAGCTCTTTCTAACACTAGTGACCTTCCGGTTAAATCACAGAGCTGTCTTTCTATTCTTTTGGATCCGCCTTTCACACAGAAATGGGATGTCCACTGGCCCATTTAGTCCAGTACTGTCAAATCTATCCAGTAGCAGCTCTCCAAAGATTCAAGTGAGTGTCCTCATCCTGCTTGCACATCCTAATAAAGCCTGACGGTGGTCCGCCATCCATGTGCTAATCAAATCTGATCCAGTTTAGCCTCCAATAGCAGATGAGATAAGTATGTTCAAGGTGGTACAGTGGTGATCGTACTCTGTTCTGCTTTCCTAATTTGGGCTGTGATTAATTTTTGCATGCTACCACCCCTATTTTTCACAGCTGTTCCTTTAATTAATTAACAGAGGAGACAAGGTGTTAATTACGTGCTGTCAAGTTGATTCTGACTTACTGTGACTCTTGTCTGTGTTTCTAAATAAAAAGTACTCAGAAAAGGTTTACCGCTCCCTTCTTCTGGGGTCAATCTAAGACTGTGCAGCTTACCCAGCTGGCTTTTCTTATGTTAGGCACACAGGGAAATGGAACTCCTGACCTCTGGCTCTGCACCAAGATACTCCAACTCACTGAGCTATCCAGCCAGGTTCATATGGGCAGAGGCTGCCTTTGCTAATATTGCTTCTCCACACAGGAGACTAGTGATGCATTTCTGAATTGTGTGAGGTACTGGGAAAGGATGGGTAGAGCAGTCAGTTGCTTGCTTTGAGCAGTTTGCTATGTGTTTTTCAGACAAAGTCCATCAGATTCACCTTTATGTGAATTCTGATATTAGTGCAGGTCATCTTGCTGCAACTTTGGCAACCACTTGTCCTTTTAGCTGAGATTCTTTTCAGCTTATAGGTCTCAAGGATGTGGACAGAGTGCTTGGAGTGGTGAGGGCTACCGCCTGCTCACTTGCTCCTTGCTCCTCCTAGCCAATTAAATGCACCAAGGGAGGACTGATGCCATGGTGAAGGGAGGTGATAAATATTTCCTTAAAGGAAAACTCTGTCCTTTCCGACCTAAAGGAAACGGTCATAAAACCTTTTCAAAAGAAATCTACCTTGATCCAGAAGCTTTGATTAAACACAAGTCAGTCTAAAATATATTATTTTTGGCTAAGATAGAAGGTAGTGGCCCTTCAACTCTGGGCATTCTTGGATGATACTGATTATCTGGTCCCATTTCAATCAGCCAGGATATGGAACTGAGACTGCTTTGGCTGTCTTGATAGATAACTTATGCCGGAGACCGGATGGGGGTAGTGCAACCTTATTGATTTTCCTGGACTTTTCAGTGGCAATACCACCCACCATGACATCCTATTGGATCACCTGGTTAGGTTGGGTACTGGAGGTATGGTATTACAGTGATTCTAATTCTTCCTATCAGGCTGTACACAAAGGTTGGTGTGTGTGTGGGGGGGGAAGCACTGTTTGACACCATGACCTTTGGTCTGTGGTGTTCCTCAGGGCTTCACCTTATTGTCAGGTTGTACACAAAGGTTGGTGTTGGTGGGGGAGCACTGTTTGGTGTCACGACCTTTGGTCTGTGGGGTTCCTCAAGGCTTCACCTTATTTCCTCTACTGTTTAACATCTATATGAAGCTACTGAGAGAAGTCATCTGAAGCTTTGGAATGAGGTGCCACCAATATGATCACATGCAAAGTATCTGTAATCTTTAAAGCCCTAATTGCCCTATGGCCTGGATATCTGAGGGACCTGTTATCTTGTTATGAGCCTGTTTGGACTTTAAGAAAACATCTGGTATAGCTATTTGGGACACAAACTGCTGGACTCCCAACCTCACCTGTTTTAGTGGTCTAATAAGGGTATTGCCCACCCTTGTATTTGGGCACTCTCCCTAAAGAAACTCAAATGCCCATTCAGACAGCTACTCAAGCCCTATTAATGCATTCCTAGTCTGAGGTCTGTAATCATATAATACGGAGTGGGGGGTGGGCAGAATGTTAGTTCCAAAACTTACATGTTTTTGCTGTCCCCTGTGTTTGCAGAAGAGAGCTATCTCTATCCACGAAGGCCTCCCTCATGATTTAGAGAGCTGTTTCCCCAGAATCCTGAATGAAATGGAGAATCTCCATGGGTAGTGGAGACGCTTCTTCAGGCTCCTTCCTCCAGTGGCAAGTGGGAGCACAGGTCACGATAGCCAGTGATGGGAGGAGCCAGAGATACCCAGCAGGACTGGGCGGAGGGAATGGGTGTTTGTTCAGGCATTCACACACAAACACATACAGGAGTAGGTGGACAAGTCTGCATTCAGTTAGGCACTGCCACACGTCCGTCCAATTCATGCACCCTGCAACTCAGCAATGGAGCAATAAAAGGTGCCTTGCTCCCAAATTAGGAACATTCCTACCTGCTGCTGCTTTTTTTCTGTGCCTGGTTTCAAAGTTGGGCAGTTGACTCTTTCACTCACATTCATACAAGTCATTGTCCTTCTCTTCCCCCACTCTTTTCTTCACTTGCATACACTCACATGGATCGTCATGGGTGCGTGTTTCAGTGGATCACTCTGCCTAGAATTCTAAATGTATTTATTATTTTAATGTATACATACAGCCACAGTGTGTTGCCATAGTCCACAAAATACATGTAAATTATGCTAGCATACCACTATGGGCTTTGTTCGCGCCTGGGAAAGGATTTTAGCCAATATCACAAAACCAAGAGAGAGCGCTAATTAGATTTTTTTAATTATTATTATTTCATATTTTAAAAAATTAAGTTCTGTTAAGTTTGAGCCTTGAGACACAACCACCACATGTGGTAATATGAGCCATACCCCTGACAGCTTCTCCAGCACCCAGAACTAATTGTGCTGTTAATCTGATTTAATCTTTTTAGGTGTGCTTGATATTATTTTGTTATATTAACATTTGCTATATTTAATGCATTAACATTTGACATATCAGATATATTAACATTTTAGGTGTACTTGATATTATTTTTCTAAGATAAGCATGAATTTGGCAAATGTCTTTTTCTTTCTATGAAACTGCGATGTTTTCCATTATTAGTATTGTTGTAGTGGCTATAAAATGCAATGCTTTTTCCATGGCATTTCATACAGCTTAAGAAAACAAATTAGCTCCTGCTCACAATCTCAAAGGCATGACTGAATAGAAAAGAGATGGGGAAGCAAACTGTGGGGAAAATACCATTTAATCTAACTAGAAACCAGCTCTCCAAGTCCAAGTTCTCATACTGGAAGTCCAAAGTTATTGCATACAAGAGTGTCAAATCATGCAGTTAATTCAAGATTAAGTGCGAACTTGGTTTTTATGCGTTGTTGTGACCAGACCAGTTTAAAAGAGGATGCAAGGGGGGGAGGGGAAACAATCTTAATTTAGGCTAGCCATGACTTTAAGGCCCATGGAACAACTTGTTACCAGTACTGTAATGGCACTTGTTAGTTTAAGTAATGCTTACTTCACGTCTGTTGGCATAACAAGAAACACCATGTTCAACGTTGTTAAATGCCTTAAGAAAAAAATCATTTAGTTTGTAAAACACTTATAGAAAAATTAAAAGAACACTATACAGTCTGTAGAATTCGGTTCAACAGCTCACTGCAATGGCAAGTTATCAAAACCACACACAGCAACACAGCATAGATTTTGGAGGCAGTTACCACAAACCTAGCAACAAGCCCAAGACAAGGGATGTTCGCTGGGGATATGCAGACTGCAGTACAGAAAACCAGCACTCACCTTGGACAACTCTGCAAACTGTACAACAAGCACAAGCTGGAAAAGGAGCCAGATATTAAGAGTTGTTCATGCTAGAGTGAGAGGGCAACTGGAGGGTAAGAAGCATTTCCATTTCCCCAAGCCATTCTGGAGGCTAGGGAATGGATAATCCCACACCACTGTAAAAGACAGATCTATGTTCCACTAGAAAACATTGATGGTGATGTGTACAGGCCTACCTGTGACACAAAGGGATATCATTTGTCCCATATACTGTAGTGCATACAGACATAGTATGTTTATTGGCATTGACAAACAAAGTGGAAAATGCTCCGGGACTGGGACAGCCTAATTCACAATCTTTTCTGTTGACTACATGACATACAATTCCATGTGAATCAGACTGGAGTCGCCCCCACCCCATATCTGCAGTTTTTTCCTCCACTTCTGGGACTCCTACATCTTCAGAATCAAATCCATCTGCATTGGTTCAGGTAATGTGATTGCTTGAACTGATGTGGACTAATTTGTAGCCGTACTATTTGAAGGATTCCACCCGACTACAGCAGCAGCGACAGAGTCATGGCAATGGAGAAATTGGCTTTTTAATCCTCTCCTCCCCACACCTGGTGCCTGGATCTGCTCACACCTTCCCTTCCCTCTTTCTACTTTTACTTTACCTTACTTTAATTAGATTTATACCCCGCCCCTCTAGACCAGGTCTACTCGGGGCGGCTTACATATATAAAACATAACAATTTTTTTCTTTTCTTTTCCCATTCTTTTCCTTTCCTTTTCAAGGCTTTCCGATCTAACACTAGGGCAGTTAGGTGACCAAAGGAGTGGGGGAAGAGTGAGAAATTGGCTGAGAGAGAGGAGGAGGTTTTAAGAACCTATGTTGTGACTGTGCCTCCTGCAGATCTGGATGGCCAGAGCAGAGATACCTTAATAAGCTGGAAACAAGGCTGACTGAAAACTTCCTCCTGTCTCCTTGCCAATTTCTCTTTTTTTAGGATTGTATAGCTTGCCCAGACTGGCTTTATTTGAAGGAGGCACAGTGAGGAATCAAGCTTCCGATCCATGGCTCCAAGTAGTCCAACTCACTGAACTATCCACTGAGTTAATCTTCCTTTAACCTCTTGATAATATCCACTGTATCACAGGGTCTTGGAAATGGAATCAGCCACCCATACAAATTAGCAACATAAAATAGTAACTAGTCTCATATTCTACATCTCTCCATTTCCATAAGGAAATCAGATTGCTGGACCACAGAGTATCAAATTCTAAGCACTGCCATAAGTTACTTCTCATTGACTTGAAGTACAATTAGCCTCAACCCTCAGGCCAGCAGGCCACAGGCAATGAGAACTGGAATCCAGCAAGATCTGGAGAGTCACAGGTTGCCAAAAGGATGAGAAGAGAGACTTCTCTGAACATGTAGCTCCTGGGTTTCAAAGTCTCAAAAAGAGTGTGCCTGAAAACCAGCCTTTTACAGATGTTCTTCCAGAGCTGTATAAAATTCCCTTTCATCATGTTTTCCCACCCTTCTTAGGCTTATTTATTGTTCCATTTGGAGAACTGGTGACAAGAGGAAGAAAATATCTGAAGACTAAAGGCACTTCCGACACCCACCTGAGCGTCCAATACTGTCAGACGCACTTTTGGATGTTCTGGGCCGGCTCTCCTTGCTACTTGACCGCATTGGAACTGATGAGGCTGGAGGAGGCGGAGTCACTGTGCTGCTGCTTTCTCCCCTAATTGTTGTGAGATCTTGCATGCTAAAGCTTCGAAGTCTCTCCGACAGAGCTCCTTGACCCTATGGAGATAGACAGAAAAATAGGAAATACTTTTAAAGCAACCAATTTATTGGCTACATATCTTCAGGGCAACATTCAGTCAGTACACATGTGAACTAATATTGAGGGAGAAAACTGCTAATATTTCCTGAATTAAAATTGGAGGCATCTTACTCCTCCATTCTAGAAGACTATTTGTGTGTATGTGCATGTGTGAGAGCAGGGGCGGGGGTGTTCATCCAGACAAATTGTTGTTATGTATCAATGTGGGTTGGAGCTGTGGTCCCTCTCCTGCATTGAATTAGATTTACTCCCTGCAAGATTCCTTACTGTAGTCAGTATTTATTCAGTGTAATCCAAACTGAGTTTCTATATCCCAACATCCCTCCTACCTTCTTCCCTCCCCATTATCCACCCCTTGCCTTTTTCCTTCCCCAGTACTGCCTGATTTGGTAGCAAAGGTTTCCATTCTGAAAAGAAGGGTTTGTTGCTTTCTTCCTAACACAGAGAAATTTGTGCAGTATTTGAAGAGCTTAGAATCATTAGCTCTTTATGTCTTTTTTTAAAAAACAACAACAACATGCTACATTTTTCTTGCTAGTCATAAAACAGAGGGTGAGAGGCAGCTGTGCTGGGGGAAAACTCCCCCTCCCCATTTACAGAGTCAGGCAGGGGCAGCTCTGGTCCCTGCTAAGGCTATCTCAAGGGGAGTTCTACTTGTACATTTCCCCCATAGGGTTTATCTTTGTTTAGGAGGAAGGGACAGATGGGGTAACAGATCTGGAAAAACATGGGCTGAGGTAAAAGAAAAACAACTCACTTCAAAATGAGGTAAAATACCCCTGAAATACAAGGGAAGGGGAAGGGATTGATCCAAGAGCCCAGTAATGTCATGAGGCTCTGTTCAAATAATTGAAATCAATGGGCAACTGAACACCTCTCTTCAAATAAGAGCAAACAGGATATGTGAACAGGCTCAGAAATAAAGACTGTGCCCAGTACGAGTTCCTTCACTTGCAATTATAGTTCTATTCAGGCATTATAATCCATGTAGAAAGTCCAAGAAAAAATGGAAATGTTCTACCTGTTCTGTGTATGTATAGAGGGGGAAGACTCTGGGGAGGAAGGGCAATCCATGGGGGCTCTCCACATGCATCGGGATAAAGGAAAATGAAGGGATGAAGGAGGAACAATACTAGAGCACTCCCCTTTGTTGTTTGTGCTTTCTCTGTAGAGTATAATGGCTTGATAGGGCTTATGTCATTACCCATTACCCTGTCATTATAATGAGTGAACAAGTTATAGAGTGCTGCATTATACTGTGTCAGAAAATTGGCTCACCTAGCTTAGAAATGTCTACCCTGACTAGTAACTGCTCACCAGGGTTTCAGACAGGGATCTCTCCTAACGCTACTTGAAGACATCTGCTTTAGCATTCTTATGGCTCTTCCCAGATCTCTCTTAACATAAAGTGATGGATGAACCTAACATCAAATGGGTGAGTTTTTCAAGGGGCACTTCAGAGATCTCAGCACACGATTTAAGAGACAAGTATGCTGCTGCAAACTTCAGACAAAATTATACCTCAACACAGTGAGGTACGGAACACTTTTTACCTAATACAGTGGGGTCTTGACTTAAGAACGGCTTGAGTTAAGAATATTTTGACTTAAGAACCACTCTCATAGGAAAATATTGACTTGACTTACATACTTAGATTTGAGTTAAGAACTGAAAAAAACCCACGTGGGAGGCAGGGAAAGTGCAAAATTTGAACTTTCAGTTAACTGTTGGCCAGTGAAAAGGGTGCCTGTCTGCTTCCTCACTCCTCCCAGCGTTAACTTTAGACGACATAGTGAGGTATGGAACACTATTTACCTAATATTGTAACTTTCCTATGAAGAGTTACAATATCTTCCTACAAAGAGTTAAAATATTTGAACGTATCGTCTACCTTAGTTTTACTCTCTCTGTTGCTGTAACTGCTGTCCTCCAAGCATCCTTCTACAGAACACTTTGATTTCTATCACCCTAACCTCTTCCTCCTCTTAAAAGTATTACAGAATACTGGGGTGCAGCAGGAGAGATGTTGGTTGATCAAATATGTAATGTAATAGCAAAGTCCTCTTTAGGGGGTTGCAATATATAGAGCAAAGTACATAAATTAATAAATAGACATCAGGGAAAGATCTGAGGATTATCAAAGATTAGAAAAACTGTAACAAAGATTTATTGAGTATGTGAATAAAAAAAAAACAAATGTAATATCCTCCATATCCTACTGCAGAGAATTAAATTTAAAAGTAGGAACCAACCATTTTTTTCTATAAAATAATCCCTGAATCATGAATTAGCTGTAGCTTTTAAGTGATGCAAGAATTTATCTCTAGTTAATATTTTCCAAGTCTAGTCATACTATCACTAGCTACTAGATTGTTCTTTCCATGCAGATAATTTCTATTTCCCAGATTCTATGAAGGTTGTTTTGGAACGTTATGAGGCAGCATAAAAACCAAAATGGATCCAATTACAAAACTTTTTTATTCAATTTTTATTCAATATTTGGGTTAGAGTTTGTAAGTCCCTGTTGAATTTCCAAATGAGTCTCGGGTATGGCATCCTCTGTTCAGTGTTTCTTCTAAGGTGTCTGTGCAGTGTGCTCCATTTGATGGGTCAGAAAAAATGTGCCATCAAGTACAATAACCATACGTACCTCCTGAAGCATCTGTTTTTCTATCTAGATATTCCAGATAGAATATTGTATTTTCTGATAAAATAGTATTTTTATTTTTCTTTCTTTCTGTGATTTAATGTATATCTGTTCCCTGAGCAAAACTCCCATCATACCTAATATTCCTGTCTATGCCAATGAATCTCAGTTAATTAAACATATCTGGTAATATAACTTAATGTTAAATTACATCAGGGCTGGGCATGGGATATCCCCAGCCCCCCATATTCCACTTTCACCCAAAAAAACTCACTTTGGGCAATATGTTGGATGGCTCAAAATATCCCCTTGTGTTATCTAGGTGATGTGGGGGAACAATTCTGCCATGTTTGAGCCCCTCAGCACTCTTGCCCCTTCCCAATATCTGTCAATTTAAAATTGTTTAGAAGAAATGGTAAAGGTTCCCCTTGACATTTAGTCCAGTTGTGTCCGACTCAAGGGGGCGGTGCTCATCCCTGTTTCCAAGCCATAGAGCCAACATTTATCCGTGGTCACGTGGCCAACTAGAGAGTGAAAAAAAGTACCAGTATGGTGTAGTGGATAAACTGATGGGCTAGGACTCTGGAGATCAGGGTTTAAATCCCCATACAGCCATAGAAACCCACAGAGGGAGTAGAACTGGTAAAAACACTTCTTAAATATCTCACATACCTTGAAAGCCCTAACAGGGTTGCTGCAAACTGGTTTCAATTTAATGGAACATAATTAACTAGAGAGTGCAAGGGGCCTTTCAAAGCTTTTTAAAAAACCTTTCATAGAGGGGGAAATTGAGGTGTGGGGAAATGGAAGTGGAGATGGCCTTCCAAGATACAGGGACAGACATGTGTGATCCTCCAGACTTCTAGGGATTTCCCATCCCGATGTAGATCTTATGGTACATTAAATCCTATAGCCAAATTTGCTATCTGTCTACCTACTACTGATGAAACCAAAGTAGACTTTAAAGCTACATGCACAAAACCTAAAGAATGAAATGGAAACCAAACTAGTATCAGTATTGCATAGATTAGTCCCAATTGTAAAACAATGCATCATTTATTACAGTCACCAGATTTAAAAAAATGTATACAAGTCATATCTATAGAGTCTACAGAATTCATATACTGTATAGGAATGTTAACACTGATACAACCCCTGGGAATCTTCTACCAGTAGCTATATGTCTTCCAGCTATTATTGGTAGTCATAATGCTGGATTTCTATTTGATACTTTGAAATAAGAACAGGCAAGACAACCAGGTGAAGTAGTCAGTAGAGAAATAACATTGGTTGCCTAGTTCCATCATACAGAATTTGAAACTGAAGAACATGCTCTACAGATTCTACCTCTTGGTTATAACATACACAGATCCTTGCAGATAGAGAAACACCAGCAAACCAACCACTTAATGAATGAGTAGGCAAAATGTTAGATTGAGCTCACATAAAAGCCAAGCAGTATTTCACTAGATACAGATTACAGAAGTAGGGGGGAGCTAGTTGATAGTGACCATAGCTAGTTTTTCTAATTGCTACATTACCAACCATGCTAATCACCACGGTTAGTATTGTGGAGTTAGGCGAAACATTCACAAGGTTACCTGCCATTCTTTCAGATCCACATAAATGAGAACAAGAAGAAACTGGGAGATCTATTAGATGAAAAAGAAATCCCATTGTGGCAACACATGGCATGAATTTGGAGAATACTCTAAGGCAATGGTCCCCAACCTTGGGCCTCCAGATGTTCTTGGACTTCAACTCCCAGAAGCCTTCACCACCACCTCTGCTGGCCAGGATTTCTGGGAGTTGAAGTCCAAGAACATCTGGAGGCCCAAGGTTGGGGACCACTGCTCTAAGGTATGGTAGAAACTTTGACCCTCCAAATGTCTTAGGCTCCTCCTCCTACAGTTTTGTATCATTGGCCATGCTGTAGGGGGGAAGGATTTGGGAAATGGAGACCAGAAACAACTTGGCAGCCAAAGGTCCCCATCCCATCCATCAGCTGAAATCCTATTGCTTAGCTCAGTATGTTACACTAGAGTAGGCCAACTGAATCAGTGGGAATTTAGTGAGAACTCTGTAAGTTTCACAGATCCAAATGGGCCTACTCTAGTTGCAACTTACTTTAATGTAGTAAGTCACAACTAGAGTAGGCTGACTTGAATAAGGGAACTGAGATTCAGTGGACCTACTCTATCTAGCATGACTTTATGTGCCAAGCAATAGGATTTTGGCCAACATGTAATCCCTGTCCAAGATCTTACTGATCTTATTGAGGGTAGAATGAGCAATACATTGCAGGGAGAATGTTGCACATGCAGCTACTTCAATGCTGAACTCTAGGATCTTAACTGAGAACCCAATATCAATAATTTACTTAGGTTTCAAGTAATGGTATAACTTTAATTTTACCAACATGCTGGGACAAATTAACATAGCTACTTCTCCGGAAACTGCTAAAAAGAAAAGTGGACTGCTAGCCACCTCAAAATTTAATTTTTTAAAAAACCGCTGTTTCAGACTGATGAGTTTATAGGACATAAGGACTTTCAAGCGACTAGCTTGATTAAAAAACCCTATGAGAGAGCATGATATCACTCTATAATAAAGCAGGAAAGCCTTTAAACACGATGCCAAATTATAAATAAATAACAAGTAGAATAGCATACTCTTCTTGTTCTCTTTCTGATGCTAGCTAATATTTTTTCCCTTACTAAACTGGGGCTTAGCTATGAGGCAATGATTCCAGAGGCTAGAGATGTAGAAACTCTTTTTGAGGTCACAGATATCTTGTGAATGGAAACATATATTTCTTTATTCCACCTGTGGCCTTTAAAGAAATAAATTCCATAATACATAATTGCAATACTCAAGATCTTCATTCATTTTACACTGCCCATTTAGCTGAGGCCACTCTGGGTAATTTACAACATAATCAAATAAGACAATGCCACAGGTAAAATAAAATCAACATATAAACTTCATAAAATAGAAACATTAATTAAACTGCTACATAATTAACAATTAAACACTAAACATTAAATATTTTTAAAGGCAGTAGGATTGATTCAATGGCTGAACTTTTCAACAGGTTTCCATTGACAGAAATGCCTGTCTAAACAACCAGATTTCTAATTATTTTTAAGTTATTATATAATGATAACAATGATTTAAAGTGTCATTAAATCTTTAATATGGTTCAGGACTTTAAGAAGTCCTTACATTTAAATGTATTCTTTATAAGAATCAAATTATTTATTAAAATTATTTAATAACTTTGTTATTGCAATTAGGTATGATGAAATTCACTCATTCTGTGGTCACCTGTGGATTCAACAAATACTTCCCATCACAACTTATTTGCTTAGTTCTCAAAACAACAATAAAAAAATTAAAGCATTACAGTCTATCTGGCTGCTTTGTACATGAAATGTATTTTGTAGAATGTCAGTTTCAAAATGTAATGAATGCTCAAAAGAAAAAAAAAAGTTACATATACACAGCCATTTCCTGATACGTATAAGGCACAGAAGAGTTACAGTTGAGTATTCTCAAGAGGGCTGTTTGCTAATTTTGCAGGCAGACACATTCTTCTGTTATGTCCTGTGCTGATAACATCATTTTTTTTTTTGAACACCAAGGCTAATTTTGGGTGGCCATAATCTCAAAACATCAATCAATGGAAATGTAGAATGTGACTCCTTGGTGCTCAGGGTTATGTATTCACAATAGGATTGTGAGTTTTTAGACATCTGTGACCTTCCTCAATTTATTGATTGCAAGAGGGCTATACAAAATAATAATAATAATAATGAAGGAATTCAAACTGTAAAGGGATGGGGCACAGATTGTCACTGACTAAGAACAACATTCAGTTGTGACATTAATGTAGCCACGATAGCCTGCATTATCCTACCGGTTACCTTGGAAGCTGCCATTACAGCAGCTGTAGCGGCAACATTTAACCCCCGTTTCCCAAAATGTACCAGGGCATCGTAGCTTCGATCTTTTGCTTGGACAAGACAGTCATCTATTTCCTGTAAGGAAAGACAAAAAAACCAAATCAGAAACACACTCAAAAGGAGAGGCAAATCACACTTTTCTTTCCTTTGGCATGTCATTAGCCAAAGGGACTCCTTTTCCAAATTCTTTCTCTGTATAGTTGAGTTCTTTGTCATTTTAAATTTCAAGAACAATGACCTGGAATTAACTCAGGTACATCAGTCTGGGTGATACTCCTTGTCCCAGCTGGGGTGAAGCCCATTTCAACCAGGGCTAGTGTCAGAAGTGGGCAACCTGCCTAGCCACCCGAGGCACCAAGATGAAAGGGAGCCAAAACAAGCTTTACGGCTCAGTATTTCTGCTAGAACAAAATAAATAGCAAGACAGACAAATGACAGACCAGGGCTTTAATCTCCGCACTCCCAAACGAGGAGCCTTGCTGGTTGTTTTAGTGCCGTCTACACAAACAAATTCCCTGTAAAATTAACTTCACGTAGAGCAGAAACAGACATAATAAGTTTCGATAAGAACAGGAAAAATCCTGAACTAATGAAAGCAACAAATGTGTAGGGGCTTCCCTCAACTCCTGGAGGCTGCAAATCAATTTGTCTGGTGACTGGTCCTCCACATGAAACTGAAAGTGACCAGAGGCCCACTTCTGACTTCATAAAAATACTTGGGTGAGGAGATTAGGCGTTAGAGAACATTTATCTCATTTAAAAGGAGAAACACCACTTCTGAATGGTGCTTTTCCCCTACCCCCTCTGTTTTTTGGTGAGCAGAACAGGGCTTTACTCTGAAGTCATGTTACAAAGGTCTATACAGCACTACAAATACCATAAAAGCAGGAAAGATTGCACAACTGATGGGGCACGGGTACTACAGGCATACTATTTATTTTAGAGCCAACCTGGTTGCAACTGGGACAGCTACGCTTGTTTCTTCACATCTCTTTCTCGTGGATGCACAGAGTGCGGGAGGGAATGCTGAATATTGTTATCAAAAGGGAGGTACACGAGAGGAGGACTTAAACCATCCCTCCTCTGTTTTCTGTTGCTGAACTAACAAGTACAGACAGGTACAGTAAGAAAGACTGCATGCTAAAGAAAGCATGTACACAGTGGTGCCTCGCTAGACAGTTACCCCGCATGACAGTTTTTTCACTGGACATTGGCTTTATGCGATCGCTATAGTGATTCACAAAACAGTGATTCCTATGGGGGAATTTCGCTGGACAATGTTTGGTCCCTGCTTCGCAAACCGATTTTCGCTAGATGACAATTTTGACAGCTCCCTCCATGCTCGCAAACAGGTGTTTTCGGGACCTAAGCTTCGCAAGACCGATTTAAACAGCTGATCGGCGATTCGCAAACCGGCTTTCCTATGGCCGATCTTCGCTAGACAACGACGATTCTTCCCCACTGGAATGCATTAAACAGGTTTCAATGCATTCCAATGGGGAAATGTTTTTCGCTAGACAATGATTTTGCTAAACAGCTATTTCAGTGGAACGGATTATCATCGTCTAGCGAGGCGCCACTGTATCTATTTATTTGGCTTTAATTTGGCTTAAATTGACTGTTCCTGATGGTTTAACTGAATTCCTAATCCCAACTCTGTTAGAGGCAGGCCAGGCCACTGAGCAATCTTCTTCCTCCCAGCTAAAAAGAAACTCTTGACTTTCAAAAAGGCAGAAGGGGAGTGGGGGGGGCAGATTGCCTGTGACTGTCCTCAGTTTTAAGAGATGGGCCATAAATTCCAAACTGCTAGCTGAGGAGGAGTTTGAAATCAACATCCATGCTGCAGCTATTTCCATCCAAGAGTCTAACCTGGCCTCTACACCACCAGCCACATGAATCTGGGACATTAATAACAGCACATAAGTTTAGAACTGCCCACAAGAACTTGATGCACAGCTTTGAAGAAGATGATTTGTCATAAGAACCTTGAAGTTTTTTTTCATTTTGTTTATTTTGTTTTATGTTCTTAATGGACGATTAAAGGTATCACCTGCTCCTGCATTTGTATCTTTTCTTTTGTATCCCTTTTGATGTCAACAGTAAGTTACCAGACACATGCTTTATGTATGAAGATGGAACACATGTGATAGAAGGGTATCCCCTTTAGTTCTGGCCCAGTGGCAGAGCCTCAGGACTGTGTAAAAATGGCACCTCTCAGATTTCCTTCCATTCTCCTACATCTGCCTGAAACAAAGAAGCTCTGGCACATAACTGAGTACCAAAACTCAAATACAACCGAAGTCGAAGCAAGGTGTGGTGACAGCTGCTAGTCCACATAACTTCTAGCCAAAACAGATACAGTAAATTGAATCTCACTAATAAAAGCTCCCTTCCACCACTCCATCACTGAGGACAAACAACAGATGGAGGCCATCTTTTTCACAGTGCCACTTGCAAACTTTCAGATGCATCTACTTGGCTATTCCTGGGAACAGAAATATGGGGTAGAGGGCCTCCTCATTCTACCAGGCAATCTTTATTTTTCTCAAAAGAAGTTCTCCAACATATCCACTTCGTATTCTTGCTAGAACCCAAGCTATTGTGACTTCCGAAACTGTGTATCATTCTCACAGTGATAGGTGCATTTGGCCATCACGGCTCAAATTAATTTGACTATGACAGTAATGGTTTTGGTTTTTCTGCATACGCTTCTGCAGTCTGTAAGAACAAAAGCCTAAATCCAACTTGACACTAGTTATGTGAAATTCTCACTAGTGTATGTCTTTTGCATGGCACTGCTGTGCGAGTATTGCAATTGAAGATGAGCACAAATGATCAGTTTGGTGATTTGTGCCTGTTCATTTATTGGCTAAACAGGTGTTCAGTGCTTCCCTGCCCCACCTCCTCTGGGAGCTGCCTCTGAGTGGGCGCCTGCCAGGGAAGGAGGGCGTGGGAAGCACTGAACACCTGTTTGGATGATAAACAAATGGCCACAAACCGCCAAACCATCATGGCCATCTCTAACTACAATACCACTTGCACAGTCTCTTCTGCAACAAAACCAGCTGTTGGTACCGCCGTTGTGCTGACTCTTAAAATGAACAGCCACCACAGGCAGACACGAAGACTTAACTGAATACAAACCAAGGCATTGTGAATTAACAGTGCTCAGCAAATGAAAAACAAATGAAAAAGAATTGACAAGGAAAATGCACCAGTAAAATGAGACAAAGGCAGAAAATGTAAATAATATACGATAAATCTTGTAACATATCCAGTCAGAATCCAGTCCAACTGAATTCAACAGCATATCTCCCCAAGTAAATGCGTGTAGGGTTCCTTTATAATAACTCTTGTCTGAAGCACCAAGAAACCTTTACAATTACCTTTTCTTTCGAAGACAGTGTTGGGTGTACAAATTTCCTGTATAGAAGGCTGGAGCCCTTTGTGTAAGGAGACAATAACCAAGCTACAAAAGCTATTTTGAGTTCATAATAAAAGGGAAACCTAAAAGAAAACAAAGTGACATATTTACTTCTGGAAATGGCATTCAGTTACAACTGAAGATCAAAGCCTTCTGCAATTAGTTTTTCTGTTTTAATTCTGGGTGGAAATCTAGAATTCTACATGTGTGACTCACACCCTCAGACATTTATGGCATTGGTTTTGAAAGGTGGAGTGAGTAAAGCTCATAGATTCGCAACAGTTCTTTTTTCCAGTTCTTAGATGGCCAATTATATTTGAGTGCTACCACCAGAAGGATGGATAGGAGACCTCATTCATTACAGCTTGCTGATGTATTTCAAGAATAGCTATGCTGACTCCTACTAAGTCCTGTCCTGTTCACTTTCAGGAGACAGCACCTCAAACTTTTTTTCTGCGTTACCGACTTTTTCATGGTGCCAGCATTTAAAGGCTGCAGGTTACCATTCCACATTGATCATTTCAGTTTTTTCCCCACTTTTAATTGTTCTTTTAGAATGTGCACAAATGTCTGGCATAAGCCTATGTACTCAAGTTGTTTTCAAGTCGGCAGCAATATCCAGTTCTGTACTTCTTACTTTTTTTTAATGACCACTGATGACGGCAACATGCAAGCAAACCATTTATAGCAGATTAGATTTCAGGAAGCCACAATATGTTCACCATGGAGTTGCCCAACTCTTTCCATTACTCCCTCAATAAATGCACCCGTATCTATCCTGCAATGAAAATACTGGATGATGGAAAAACAACTAATATAAATATGGACTAACAATAGCAAACAACTAATAGAGAAAGGAAAAATATCTCATTCTGCTTGTGCTTTTCCTTCAAGATTCCTATCCCTGCCTTCTCTTATGCTTCTTACATTTTCTTAATTTTCCTACCATTCTCTTATCCCATTCTCCAAGGCTGGTTGATTTGTTTCATGGTTATAGGATGCATGCATACAAGTACACTGCAGGCATGTCAGGGCGAGAACTGACTGTTCAACTTGCAATCGCAGTGCTGCCCAATTTGAACAGCACCCAAGTCCCACCTACTTGCTTCTTTCTTTTCTTCTTTCTTTCCAACTTCTCAAGCAGCCACTACCAACTTACTCTCCACCTACCCATAACTTCTCCCCACTCCCCTTAATGATCACCAGATGGGGAAAGTGGAAGAGGATGGCCAAGTGGCAGGTGTGGAGGGAATAGCCACCTCTTCTTAGCCATGTCTTACAGCCCAGTTAGGGTAGCTGTGGAGCTGGAAGTGATGGGTTGCTTTCCCTCAGCAACTGCACTTGGGTTGATTCAACTGCCCTTCCCTGCAGTTCTGGCAGGCCTTGTAAAATTTAGAGGTTGGTTGTGTCAACACCAGCAGGCCATCCTTCCACAGGCAATTCTGAAGTACTTGTTCTTTTTATATTAAGAAGGTGGAATATGCATTTCTGCATTATCCTCTAGTTTGTGCTTAATATTTTCTCTGCTGCAGTCACATTGTCTCGCACCCTCTCTATTATTTCAGTTACTTTCTCTGGGGCCGGATACACCTCAGATGGAGACAAATGTAATGCTACCAAATATAACAACTGCCCAGCATTTTTTTACCATCTCTGACATTTTATTTTGTTCCCTAGCCCCGCTATACCACTCCACTCTTATATTTCCAGTGGAGGAAAGATACAGTTTCCACAAGAAGTGTTCTATGCAAAGTGTGTTATTGAGCTCCTCCTAATATTATCTTTTTCCCATTAAAAAATAACAACAGCAATACCAACAAAAATGTATTTTTACTTTTAAAAAAAACATATTCAGGAACCAAGAGAAGAGCTGTGACAAATGGATACCAACCAGCAAAGAAAAATATCCGTGAATGTCTCTGCTGTTGTGAAGAGTGCAAATATGATCCAATACATCATCCATTTTACCTAGGAAGAAAAGTAAAAAATAGTTATAAGTGTTCCTTTGCATGAATAGTCAAATACATACCATTTCCCAAATTTCTTGTTTCAATTTTATATACTGTACATACATTATGTTTTCCTTGAAAAGCACATGTTAACCTTAATTCATACAATTGAAAATTCCATATTTTTTCATTATCAGCCAATAAGAATTTTCATTAAATGCCTAAATATTTAGTGCAGTGGTTGCATGCCAATCTATGGGGATCACAAAATTGAGACTTTGACTGTTCTTATAATTCAAGAATCTAAGGCTATCTTATCAGGCAAAATCCAAAGAAATAAAACAAAACAAAACAAAATCCAAAGAAATAAAGCAAAACATATAGCACCTTAAAGACTATTATATTTCAATGTGAGCTTTCGTGAACATGTCCACTTCGTCAGAAATATGGAAACAGAATGAAATGTTGAATGAAATATCAGTTTCATACTAAATATTCATTGGCTCTTGGATGTATGTTACATTTACATGCAGTAATTTATAGCTTATGTTATTTTGGGTCTCTGCTGTAAAAATTCTTCAGGAGACAGAAAACACAAACCAGACCTAGGCAAAGATGTGGGGGAGAGAAGAGAGAAGAGGGGTGTATGTGGAATGTTGAAGATTGGAGATTCACTTAAAAGGCTGTCTTTATATTCAATCTGAGGATGTGGAAGAGGGAGAGTGTATAGAAGGAGGCTCTCACCCCTTCTGGGTAAGATGAGAACACAAATTATACCGTCAAGATGTAGAAACTCATAACTGATTTTCCTCCCTATAGAAGGAGCTCTCAGAATGATGTTAATGAAAGCTTGGATTTCTGCCACAGGTGATCAACTGCTCAGTATCAAATACCCTCAGTGCACAGATATGCTGGAATGGATCTTACAACCCTAATTAACCCCACATCTCTACAGTAACTGCACTATGCAGAAGTTACAAACAGATGTCCTTACATTACAGGATGTGTTATTTATACCTCCACGTGTTGCGTGATATTCCTGCAATGCTCTCTCGTACTAAGAATCATTAGCTGTCATCTGCTTGGCCTTCCAATATCAAAGGGAGTGACTACATGGGTATTTGGCCCACTGCTTGATCTGGTTTGGGGACGGACTGGTTTGCTCCTTTTGTTAGCAATCAGATGGTGTAATTGCTAGAATGAACAAGCCTTTATCCAGGGCATTCCTATCCATACCTTCCTGGGTCTTTGTCAGGGATTACTCTTTTTTAGATACATGCAAGATTGCTTCATTTTGGTTTGTATCTAGAACTTGCAATTGCTGGGATCAAACCAAAGCAAAGCTTCCTGCTTTAATTTTCCTAACGTTTTAGCTTGTTTCAATTTCCCAATATTATTAGTGGCTTAAACAGACAGCTTAGCCACGTAATGATATCGAGAGAGTGGGAAATTAAAAACTCTTTTCGTTTGTTCCTTCATGAAGAGGCAGAGGGAGGAAGCATTTTTTTTAAAAAAAAAGCCATGTTGGGCAGCACTGGTGCACTGCACCTTTTCTTTTCTTAAAGGAGGTAGGCCAAATAGATTGCTTGAGGTCTGCTATGGATGCAAGGATCACATCTAATGATATACCAGACCTCCACTTGAACTTAAGTAACCCTATGTAGACCACATCAGCCTATTCTAAGTGAGCTATTTGACTAAGTCCAAAGTCATGTTTCTGAACTACAGCTCCTAGAACTCTCCTTCAATCTGTGATCCAGCTTTGTCCTTTGAAAGCTACTATCATGCTTTCAGGGACTTTTTCTGTATCCATTTTGTAGCATTGCTTCAAGATCACATTTTGACCAGCTTTGGTTCTGAAGATGTACAGTGTTCATAAATTTTTACTTAATGCCCCTGATGGACTGTGGTCTTCACAACAACATTGCCTCAGTTATTTCGAATGGCCTATTCTGAACGTGACTAATTAATGATGCAATCCACTCTTCTCAAAACGGATGTTAACGTTGAATACACGTTCATACATTAAACACATTTTGCCTTTATTTTAATTAACTTAGAAGGAAACACAGTTTTGTCACCCAAAAAAGGAGTTTAAGAAATGGAAGAAAATCTAACAGTCAAATTCAGGTTCATCCAGACAGTCTGTTACTTAGAAAAACAGACTTTGTGTAAGAACTACAATAACTTTCCTTCCAAATGTTAGAATACACAAACCGATTCCACATTTCCTGTCTTTGTATCAGGGCATATGTTTTCATATTATCTTCAAGTTAACTAATAGGGTAATAACTTTTTAAAATTTTGTCATATGCAGATTCTTTAAGGCAAAGTGCCATAAAATCATAGAATAATTGAGTTGGAAGGGGCCTATAGGACCATCCAGTTGAACCCTATTGCTCAATGCAGGAATACAAATCAAAGCAGATCTGACAAACGGTTGCCCAATTTTCTCTTCAATGCCTCCAGCACCAGAGCGCTCATCACCTCCTGAAGTAATTAGTTCCATTGTCATACTGCTTTAATGGTTAAGAAGTTTTTCCTAATATTCAGCCTAAATCTGACTTCATGTAACTTAAGTCCATTATTGCATGTCCCGCACTCTTGAATGACTGAGAACAAATCCCGCCCCCTTCTCAGTATTTGAAAAGGGCTATAATATCTCCCCCAGTTTTCTTTTCTCAAAGCTAAATGTGCCCAGTTCTTTTAGGCTTTCCTCATAGGCTTGTTTTCCAGTCCCCTAATCGTCCTTGCCCTCCACTGAACCTGTTCCAGTTTGTTGGCATTGTTCCAGAAGTGGATACAGTACTCAAGATGAGGCCTAACCAGTGTTGAATAGAGGAGGACTAATATGTCACAGGATTTGGAGACTTCTGTTAATGCAGCCTAAAATAGCGTTTCCCTTTTTTTGCAGCCACATCGCGCTGTTGGTTCATATTTAGCTTGTGATCCACAACAATTCCAAGATCCTCCTTAATAGAATACCATATACTGAATATTTGATACAAAAAAGAATGCAGAGAAAGCACATCTGAAACTCTAAAATATATAAGGTCTTCTCTGCTTTTCCTAAAGAGCTGAATACAGTATAGACCAGGCTTGTCCAACTTGTGGCCCGAGG